TCAAAAGCATGCGGTCTCTATTGAAATCACACTGATTGCCTATTAGTGTGGGCTAATGAGCGCAGGCTAATACATGTACTAGTGGGCAATGGCTGTTATAATTCTTCTTAAAAACCTCAGTAAACAGTTCGAACATGTCTGACAGAACAGTTCACAGTTATGAAAGGACATTGGACACTGCTTTTTTCTTTTTCGTCCACAATTCATCCAGCCCAGCCCAGCCTAAGCCCAGCCCAGGGTGATGGGCCGAGTTGACAGGGGCATTTTTGGCCCGTGGTGACCAGGGCGTTGGGCCGAGTTGTCCAGGGCAAGTTGACCAGGGAGTCCAGGGTGTTTGGCTGAGTTAACCGATTTGCCATGGGCTGAGTTAGTGGGCCATGTGGTCCTGATATCCTTGGAGTTAGAGTTCATATCGAAAGCGCCTTTTTCTTTCACACGCTCGCATCAGTTTTGAGGTACCCAGTGACTGTCATACATATATTCAAATCAGTATAGCCGAAATTGTTCTGTTCACAAGATCACCAAATTGATGGTCAATAAACAATTTATCTACTGTCCTACAAAGTTTGTAAATACTAGTAAATTTTAAGAATAATGTTCTCCACGTCACCTCATGTTGTATGCAGCGGACCCCAGCTCGTGGCCCAGCCCGGACAGACTTGCGTCGAAGTCCGCTGTCAAGTTATCGGCAGCATCGGCGGCTGCCCCCAGCGAGTTTTCCGACGACCGAGCCCACGCCATGGCAGTCTGTAAAGGCTTTCAACTAACCAGCAAATAAAATAAATCAGAAAACGCCGAGACGCCAACTCTCTGATCAAGGCACACGCTGTGCAGTAAACAACAACTCTAGCTACGAGAATTTTTCAAGACTCTCCGGCAACAAAACACCGAGTCCCCTGTGTTCCGGAGTGCAATATTTCACCTGAAACTTGTTAACAGAATAGACTGCACGTACACAATGCAGCTACGCAAAAATCCTAAAGGTTTTCCACGTTCTCCACGCCAAAAAAAGGAAGGAAAATGTTTTTCTTTTCAGAGCAGGGAAGCTACGAGCTTCCTCACTGCGCAGGCGTGGGAATCTTCGCGAAGGCTCACGGTCAGTGAACTTTGGCTTTGACCTGTGATGACGTAACGACGGCGACAAAATGTTACGATTTTGTTCAATATCTATAAAGAAATGACAACGTTTATGCAATTAATGTCATATGCATCTGTTATACTATATATCCTTTAATTTATCTACCGAGTATCAGCTTTCATAGAGCTGAAATAAGCTGGAACAGACCATTTGGTACAACATTTCTCCGCCCTCTTTTTCATTAAAGCAACTTTTGAGGTCAGCGCCCCTTATTTTTATAGACGTTAGAGTTTACGACCTAAAGCTAAAATTAGACGCAAAGCGAAACGATTTCCAGCGTGATTCGCTAGGGTTCAGAGAGCAGGTGAATTGTTCAATCGTAAGTCTAATGCCTGTAGTGTAAAGTGTTACTGTACATGTGTGTACGTGCAATACCAAACTTTGTGTATGTTGTAGGTGGGTGTGTCGGGGGCGTGTCCGTGTTTACACAGGCTTTTCATGTGACGTCACTTGCGCCATGTGGAAACTGTGTGGTGTCATCAACATGCATATGTGATCTACGTACACAATCCTTGCTCATCCTTTAATCTCCAGAGCTCATCTCCAAGCAGATCCTATATGATGGCAAAAGTCAGTATCCATTGGCCAGAGAGGGCCCAATACGCCACCCTTAACATAGCCGCGGCGACTGTTGCAGGGCTTCTCTTGCTTGCAGTCTTTTACATTAGCCCTAGTTAGGGCTACTGTAAAAGACTGCAAGCAAGAGAAGCCCTGCAACAGTCACCGCGGCTACCCTTAACAGTTCTTGCCAACATGGGCGATATATTTAATATGGCGAGGCTATACAGATACACAGAACATGCAAAAATAAGATCATTTTTGCATCAGATTTCAGGGTTTCCAGTGAATATCAGCAATAAAATCATATTGAGTCCTTGCCTGCCTCTACATGATGGAAGCTGTACAGAAGGAGAGACTGTCAGCATTGTTGAGGCAGCTGGTGCCACTGAGGGAGGGGGAGGACAACCAGCTACACAAGGCAGCAGAGACAGGAGATCTGGAGAGTTTAAGACAGCTGGTAGAAGGTGATATGAAAGGGTAAGGCCACACCAATTTGATTTGTTGGTTCTCAGATTTTCCAGAAAAATATGAAGGGACAGGGCAAAAAATAGCCCTAGGCATCATATGCTAGCCCAGAAAGCTATGATAGGACCTATGAAGTCAACCCACTAGGCCGGTTTATAATTCAAACAGTGAAGCTTCTTCAGCACTAAGGACAGGGGTACAGGAAAGGTTCTTCAGCACTAAGGACGGGTACAGGGAAGGTCCTTCAGCACTAAGGACAGGGGTACAGGGAAGGTCCTTCAGCACCAAGGACAGGAGTACAGGAAGGTTCTTCAGCACTAAGGACAGGGGTACAGGGAAGGTCCATCAGCACTAAGGACAGGGGTACAGGGAAGGTCCTTCAGCACTAAGGACAGGGGTACAGGGAAGGTTCTTCAGCACTAAGGACAGGGGTACAGGGAAGGTCCTTCAGCACTAAGGACAGGGGTACAGGGAAGGTTCTTGAGCACCAAGGAGAGGGGTACAGGGAAGGTCCTTCAGCACTAAGGACAGGGTTACAGGGAATCTTCTTCAGCACTAAGGGCAGGGGTACATGGAAGGTCCATCAGCACTAAGGACAGGGGTACAGGGAAGGTCCTTCAGCACTAAGGACAGGGGTACAGGGAAGGTCCTTCAGCACTAAGGACAGGGGTACATGCAGGGAAAGTACTTCAGCACTAGGGACAGGGGTATGGGGAAGCTTCTTCAGCACTAAGGACAGGGGTACATGGAAGGTCCTTCAGCACTAAGGACAGGGGTACAGGGAAGATTCTTCAGCACTAAGGACAGGGGTACAGGGAAGGTCCTTCAGCACTAAGGACATGGTACAGGGAAGGTCCTTCAGCACTAAGGTACATATCATTGTGTTCCTAGGCAGATTGACAGTAAGAATCATCTTGGCTGCACACCACTGAGGCTAGCAGCAGCGAAGGGTCATGTGGACTGTGTGCAGTACCTGGTCTCACAAGGTGCAGGGCTGGAGGTGGCAGACATCAAGGTAGGATTTCAGCAAATTGATGAAGAAAAAAAGATGTTTTGTTAAACTGCAGATAAACCGTATGCGACGGTGACATGAAGCTGGTGGCCTTGCATGTGACTTGATGTGTATGTGTATGTGTTCAGGTAAAGCCTCAAGCACCAAACCACTGCAAAACCCAACTTACTTATCAAGAAGAGTAGGGGTGACCTGATGTGCCTGAAGATAAAATGTGAGCTGTAGCGAAGCCACATTGCACTATGAGCTACTCAAAAAAGCATAAGAAGCTTCACCTTATTTGAGGATGACTGGTTTACCTTTACTTTTAATATACCATGCAGCTTTCAGTACTTCTTTTGCCTTGACACACTGTTTATTGTAAATCAAGCTATATTTGCGGTAGTTTTATATTTCCAGTTTTCATCGTGAATTTATCATTACTGCAAACAAATAATTCGCCAACTTTCTTTCTTCTGCACCTTTCGCCTCCAGGGATATATTGTTCCTTGAACATGTCCATTTTTCTCAGACCGCGAAATTTTGTTACCGCGAATATAAAGTGATTTAACATTACAGTATTGCAATACAATTGTATTTGTAAAACATTGACTGGATTTCTCAAGACTTACTGTTTTGTTTTCTCAGTCACAGACCCCCTTGTATGCAGCGGTGCGAAGGAAACACCCAGACTGTGCTGAGGTTCTGTTGAAGGCTGGTGCCGCCCCTAACGGTGACCCGAATAACCTCGCCACACCTCTGTTCAGGGCGGCTCAAGATGGCTGCCTCCAGTGCATGAAAGTGCTGATCCGATACGGAGCAGAACTTAACTTCTCCAAACCCATCATGGAAGAGGGCGCTCTCTGCAGTACTGTACTGTACATCAGCTTGATTTACAAACATTTTGAATGTTGTAAGTTACTGCTCTGCTCCGGTGCCGACCCAGACTTCCACATCAGAAAGAAGTTGAAGCTAACAAACCTGGCAAGAGAAAAGTCCCTTCTACGAGCTGTAGTAAGGCATGATCTACCTGTAGAGTTTGCCCAACTACTCATAGAGTTTGGAATCAACAGGTTCCAAAGAGACTCTGGTGGAAAGACAGCAGACAGCGACTCGGAGAATGAAAGTGCCAGATTTATCCGACTGAGTTTAGGTAATCTTTCACAATTTTTCAGTCAGTTATCATCACCACTCTACATTAAATTCAGAAAGGCAGCAGCTATGTATTATATTTTATGTCATACCTGGGTCACAGTAACGTTCTAGCAGTATCACATTGGGTTCCATTTGGTCATCACACAGGCCTCTAAATGTTACATAATTTGAATATGTTTCGCGTGTGCCACTTAAAAAAAATTATTAGATTTGCTGGTTCAAAAGTTTTCTAATTTGTTTTGCATTATTGTGTTTATATACAGCGGCTCCACTTCTTCTGCAGTCACAGTGCCGAATTGGAATCAGACGATGTCTTGGACCACACAGACTCCAACAGATTCCAGCACTTCCCCTGCCAACCAACCTCAAAAACTTTCTCCTGTTTGCTACCTAATAAATATTTTCATGTCATTAAGTGGGCCACAATGTTTGATACGGATGTTCCCACCCATGTGATAACTTGCTGTATCACACAGGGTTCTGACAGTTATCACACTGGCTTCCAAATGTTCCATGGAATAATTTGAATGCATTTTGCGTGTGCTGTGTGCACTGCTTTCAAAAATTGATGTTACAATTTTTGGTACATTGAAATGTGTGCTTTCTCTGGGGTAAACATAATTACCAAAATTGCAGTGAGAACTTCCTATTAAAGAGACTTAAAATGAATATCTTTGACAATTTCATATGCAGTAGATAAATGCAGAAACTTACAAATTTAAGACAAACTTAAAAATACATGACATGTATCAAACACTAAGCCTGTGGAATCAACTTGGCATAAATGACACCTTGCAATATTGCTATGAACTGCATGTGAGTAACATCTCCAGTCTTACCAATTGCCCCATACCTCAGTCAGCGCCCATGGAATTTTGGAATATCCTCAAGCAGATTTCTGTCCCCACTAGGCTAGCGCTATGAGGGCATCTAGTGGTTGGTTTTAGGTAGTGCAGCTACTAGGCTCACTTAAAACTTATTGTAAAGTCGACCATTGAATTGCACTTTCAAATAAAGCGAGGAGTAAGAAAGGCTCACTGGCCAGAAAATTGTATTTTGCACGATTGGTTGTCTCTATTGATGAGATTAGTGTACTGTAAAGGATATCTGACAGTTCTGATTGGTTGATGAAGAAGATTTAATCAGGAATGGTAATTAAAGCTGTCCACCGTAGACTTTGACATTTGAAACTATGACATCACAGGCAAGCACATAATTGTGTAATCAGTAGCAAAAATATTGAAGTCATAATGTTTTTTTCACAGATGGAGAATAAAATCTTTCTGTTCTCACAAGCTTTCAAAAGTACATGTAGATGGATGAGGTTCCATACTCAAAATAGGAAATTCTCTGCTAATAATTATTTTTTACACTTGAGGTGGCAGCAATTCACTATCATGATGATGAAAACAGAACATAGTTGTGTCACCAGGTGCTCTCTGCCCTGATAGTAGTGATTGAAAGCTTCCTGTCCAAAAGTAGACTGCCAGGAACTACTAAAACGGGGGTGACAGAATGACCTTTGGGTCATTAATTTTATGTGGACCACATATTACGACTAAGTCTCTAAATATCAATGAATATCGCTAATGGAAGTGGTGTGGGGAATCAATCCTACTGGTTCACAGAATAGGTGGAAGAAAATTGACAGAGGTTTCAATGAATGCCCTCTATCAAGATTCTACTGATCAGGACAGTGAGATGGATTATTGGCATCGATTTTCTTCTTCCCTCCATATTGATATGATCTAACGCAGTATGGGACAGGGATATTGATGGATATCTGTATCGGCTGCTGGCGTAATATGACATACCCGCTTTTACTTTCCGCTGAAAGAAATGACCTTTTCACAAAATCATAGTTAACGTTAACCGTTACTTGTCGTATTTAAAAAAAAGTGTTAACGTTAACGTTATATCACGCACAATTAACACAGGCAGTGTCAATTATAAATGGTTGTAACTTTTTAGCAACCAGTTTGGGGTTTTACGACGAATTTTTGTGAAAATTGGAACAGATCTGAGGTCAAGGTCAATAGTTGGAGGTGGAATGTGCAGGTGGGACAGGTGGAGACAGGTGGAGACAGGTGGCCAGTCCCGAGGTCTCGTCCCGTCTCGCGCGAACTGCCACGAGACTTGGACCTGTCAACATGGCGGACAAGTTTGCCCGCTACAACGAGTCTCGCGACTTCGAGGTACGTTTTTCGCTTTGCCTTTTGTCCTGACAACTCCTTCTTTTCGTAACTCATTCCCAATGACAGTCTTAGTAAGTGTGCGAAGTTTTGTTGCCGTGCGGTGAAGGTTTAGAGAGAAAGCGAGGTTTAAATTATCCGTGTAGCGCCATCCGAGGTTTATTTTCCGTCTGCCTGCGTAGCCAAATATGAAATTATTTTCCCCGTACGGCGTGCGTATCGATCAGATATGTTCCACAAAAGACTCGGATCTTATAGTCTAAACAGTCGTAATTTTTCATCAGGCAAGCGGGACTTTGTTTCAAACGCTACGTCGTTTAATAGCTTCGTCAGCATAGCTTTGATATCGGAGTTTGCATGTAGGCTAAATTCGTTCTCCAATTACCACACGTTAGATCTCGACTTGTGCGAAGATAAGATAGGATTTAGTTCACTCCAAATGGGATTTAGAATTGTCCTTAATGGCTCTACCCACTTCTTCATCATCTGTGAATAAAGCTTATCTCGGGGACAATTTAGGACAAAAACGTTGCAATTACGTTGCTTGTGAATTTATTTGAGTAACGTTACTTTCTTTTGTAAACAAATGGAGGTAGTGGCTCCCTTGAGAGCACTTTGTTCTACAAATTTCGGGGTATTGTTTTCAAGCAATTTTCAGGTTGACACGAATAAAGGCTTATGCTGTTTTATTGCAAAGGACATATGTAGGATTTCAATTTGTTTGGGAAGTGCATAGAAAATATCCATGGTAAATTTGGAACTGGGAATTGTAGAAAGTATCCACCAGTCACTGACACATGTGATGTGTTATTACACCCAGCAAAACTCATGTTTAAAGGGCGTTATAAATTATGTAACATTTCGCACCAAAAATAAATATCTAAATTGAGAAAAATCTTTACGTGATGGTGTGTAATTCACGTCCACTTTTCAACATAGTTGTGCAATCATCTCACAATTAGTCACATTTTGGTGTGGTTGGCGCTAAAACAGCCCACACAAGGCACAGTTTGTGGCACCACTGAAAAATAACAAAATGTAAACAAACATGGCTAACAGCTGGTAATATGTTTGCACCTCCACTAGTAGGGTTGTCACCAGGTACAGTAGGGGTATTGTCATTAGATAGCTTGAAACAGTGCCTAGAGTTAGATGTTCAAGGGTTAGGTGTAACAAGTCGATCGGTATAATGTAGCAAGCAGCCCCCGTGCAGCGTGCCTGCGAAGCTGGTGTGTTACGCCGAAAGGGGGTTATACCAGGTATACAGATACAGATACAGACCCAACTTACTTTTGTTATGAAAAGACCAGAGAATTGACTTTTTGTATCCTAAAATTGTCATTATTATATACCAGTAATGTATAATGTAATTATATACCAGTAATGCAGCTTCAATCATTTTTATACTCTGCTAGAACATTCACATATTAAGAAAGATACCTTAATTTTTCTCACTTATTGAGTATTGACTTATAATAATAGTGTTGCTAGTATGGTACCATAAGATAATGTCTGTGGTCAGTGTTTGTAAAAGAATTACATATCATCAAAATTACATGCTGAAAATTGATGTTACATGATTGTACATATTGATGGTATTGATAATACTTATATATAATATCACTACCTTTTAAGAGCCATAACCCACATATTTAGTGCAGAAAACAATTAATAAAAGTTTATATATTGCTGTTAATGTTGTCAGCGGACAGAATCAAGATCGTTAAATAGTTTTAGACTCATTGTCTGAAACGTTTGTGCTATACACTTTGATTGTGCAATAGAATTCTTCCTTATAAAATAAGTAGGGCTGTCTTCATTGGATGAATGTAAACAATGCTTAGACATACATATGCAAGATATTAAGTCATTTCATGTATTAAACTACAAAGTATACATTATTCTAGTGGCCCTCTTGAAGCTGCCATTGTGGCTCTGTGAAGTTGGTTACTAGAGCTGTGTACCAGTACGCAATACCGATACTGTACCGGAAAAATTGATTAGGTACAGGTCCAAAATACCTAATCCCTCAGTACCGGTACTGTACCTAAACAATTTCACACCAATTTTATGACTATTTGTGACCTCAAATGTGTAAATAGCTGGTTAACAATGGGTCCCTGTGTAAGGACAGTGTGTTCATGAAAACAAAAATATCTTAGTTTTGCCTATATTTTATCTGAGCATTCGCCATAAACAAAGAATAAATCTTAACTATCAAGTTTATTTATGTTTTTTTGTTATTGAAGGAGTTCAGAAGAGCATATAAATTGGTCGAATTGTTCAGGTACAGGTTCAGGTCCGGACCTGTACCTAAACCTGTGTACCTGTACCTGTACCTGTACCTAAAATTTGTTTAGGTACACAGCTCTATTGGTTACAATAACTTACATGTACAATCATTATACATTTATACTAGTATATCATTATCAATCATTCATCGGGATTGTACATATATGCTATGCCAAAATTCAGTTACACTGGCTGATGAAAACAAGAAAAACACTTCAGTTGGTATGTGCAAAACTTTTCAATGAAAAAATATCTTGTCAAATTTGTTTGAAATTATCAAGATTGTACTACCTAGTTAATATTATAGCTGTCACTGTGGTAGCTTGCAAAGTTTGCATACAGTTACTGAGTACAAGTGGTTTTGCTAATGACCTGACTGGCTCAATGCTACAGTATTGATTAATTTGTACTAATGTAGTTACTCTGTATTGCACTGTAATGTTTGTCTTCAGAGTCTTCTTTGTTGCCACTCCCACTGGAACTGGAATCTGATAAAAAAAAGAAAAACATTTTTTTACTTATTTGTACATCTATATTGTGTCTACACAATAATCACAATTGAAGAAATTAAAGGCACCCAAAGCGATTTCAATCAGGGTAGTAAAACTGGATTTTCAACGTCAATTTTTGGTCATTTTTAAAATGTAATACTAATTTTAAAATTAAATCTATCCCGTATAGTATACAGATAGAGGTAAAAATATTTTGTTGCTGACAGAAAATGTTTTGTATCATTCATAGGCTGGTCATTGTTAGTGGCACATTGAAATAAAGGAACTCCTCACATAGCTTGAGTTTGATCTATTTGAAGGTGTCAAAATGGGAATCATTAGCAAAATGTGCTACAAAATGTCAATACATGTATCAGGCATATTTTCATCCAGAATGTTTTTTGTTGCCCTGAAATTGCATTGGATGCCTTTAAAATATAATTATAAAACTTTTACATGTGGCTACAAGGATTTCTGTGGGGCCATACTCAATATAATATCATTACACCAGAGCACAAAGCATTTGTCAGTTTTAATCTACAAAGTAAGAGGGCATAAAAATCCTGAGAGCTGTAGTCTGTGTAGAGATCAGCATTCAGCCTTGCAGTTGACAAAATTCATACTCATAGCCAAGCAAGTCCAGAACTCCAGATCCATAAAAATCACGTCATGAATTTATCTTGGCACGAACATGTACTGTATATAGCTGAAGCAAGCTAGCAGGACAAGTGTTTCAACTTGTAACCTAGAGACCAGACAATTATTGGATACCTACAATATCTGTTGCTGCATGTCCATGCATTAGATTCGTTTCTACAGCTTTAGATATACTGGTAAAGCTTCTATAGATCATAGAGGATTTCAGAGCTAATGCGTCCCATCTCCGAGAAGAAGTACCTACTCAGCCTAGCAAGGGTTTTGAAAGGATGCCAGCACTGAAGAAGGTAATTTTACAGCCTGTCATTGGCAGGCACGGGCAGTGCTTGGAAGTCAAAAGTGCTCTTGTTCCCAAGGTCGGCCCTCTTGTGCCCAGGGGAATGGGCTAATTTTGGAATAACTGATGATTATCTAGCGGGAGTTGCTGTGTTAAGGTTTACTTAGCTGCAGATTTGTAGCATGATTCAACTGTATGTCTTATACTGCTGTGAGAAAATTTGGGGCTTGAATTGAAAGGCAATTTAGGAGTTAAATTGTGGGCAATTCAGAGCAGCAAATGTCTATTACTCAAGACAAACAGTTTTCATGGGAAAGGCTTTTAGAAATAAGAGTGTGTATAAAAATTGATTTCTGCTAGATATTTGTGTAACTAATAGTTATTGAGATAGGTATATGTATCAAGTGGAGTGCAAACTTGATTCTGTAAGTCAGATATTACAAAATGCATTTTCCGTTTGTTTGTGTTTGATGTTAGGCAGATGTTAGGCAGTCTGTGTTAGTTTTTTTATGCCGCACATCTGCATGTATATGTCAGGATAGAGACTCTGATCAGGTAGAAGTGATTCTACCAGTAAAGATCCCGATCAAAGTCATTGTCAACAGAAACTCCAATTTGAATCTCTGCCGATAAAGATCCCAATTGTAGTCTTTACTATATATATACAATTCATCTACGTACAGCATTAAAAGGTACATGTATTTAGGTTTTATAGCAAGTACAGACTATTTAAATAATATCAAAAGCTAGCCTGGTTGCCAGACCGACCTATTTTTTTAGATCCCCGAGTCTATGAATAAAGACTCTGGAGCTAAAATAAAATAGGTCTGGTAACCAGGCTAATCAAAAGCTATCAGTAATGTAATTGAATGTTTAACTTTAACAATATATTGGGCAATGTTTAACTTAGTTTAACGTATTTATTGACAGAGACTCTGGGATCTCTGCTGGTAGATTCTACCAGATGGGAGTCTAGATCTCTACCTTGACATGTACATGACACAGTATGCACAGATAGGCAAGGCCTGGGGAAAAAATGTTGTGTTTCCTGTTCCAGTCCTGAAAATTAGGGTTGGTAGGTAGCAATTATCTTTTTCTTCTTCTTTTTTTTTTAGACTGTAGTGATCTCTAGTGATCCAACTTATACATCATAGTTTTAAAAAAGCAATATAAGACAATAAGCATGTCTGAGCTCACTTCTATCAATGTTGGAAAACCATTGTACTTTTCACTCAGGTGTCAAATCATGGATCTAGAAAAGGTTGATCAGCATGAAAAATTTATGT